GTTCCTCTTCATCTGTGAAATATAGAATACAAGTTATCTGCGTCCAAAGGTACAATGGCAGAACAGGCACAAGCTAGACATTTCCATTACAAATGGGAGAAATTGCACGGAAAGAAGGCATAACAGACACCAAGCAAGTTGGCAGAACATATTACATTAGCCCTCAAGACTTTGAAAATAGTGTTTTCTGAGACCATTTACACAATAGCCCTGCCCTCCAGACTCTAGGTATTGGCCACAGTCTCCAGATTCTGAGTGGAGGCCCCTTGGCCCTGGGCTTCAGCTCCCCCTCCCAGGCCCACTGGGACAGCAACTCTGCTCCCTCAGCTTTAGGCACACCATTTTCCTAGTCCATCAGAGTGACAACTCCACCTGTAGAGACACCAAAGGCCATGGCTCAACCCTTTGAAACCCCAGAGGTCACGGCCATACCTTTTGAGACTGAGGCAGCTCAGATTCTTGTGTTTCTTGTCTCTTCAGCTTCTGCTTTCTGTGCGCTTTTGGCCCTCAGGCCTCACGCCTGCATCTGCCCTGCTGGGGCAAGTGTTCCAAAGGTCAGTAGCTCCCCAATAAGTGCCTGGAGGCACCCTACTCTGCCAGTAAACTTCGGCTAGAAGGCACTCAGCTCTCTTGCTCCATGAATTGGCAAGCGTAGCTCCACTGATAAGTGCCCAGAGGTACTTCACTCTGCCAGGAAGCTTCCTGTGCACAGGCATTCAGCTCTCACTCCGTGGGTTGGTTCCAGCCGCCATCTCCCGCTGGTCTCCTGGTTCTGCTGCTGCTGCTTCTCTGATGCTGCTGCTTCTCTGCCACTGCAGGGTCTCTGCTGCTGCTGATCCTTCTGCCACCACTGCTCCTCTATCCAGTCACAGTTTCAAAACCATTTCCACATTTTAGGTATCTGTTAGAGCAGCACCTCACTCCTGGTACCAAATTCTGTCTCAGTCATCTAGTGCTGATGTAACTGAAATACCACAAGTAGATGGCTTTAACAAAGAGAAGTTTATTCTCTCACAGTCTAGTAGGCTCCAAGTTCGAATTCAGGGCATCAGCTCCAGGAGAAGGTTTTCTCTATCAGCTCTGAAGGAAGGTCCTCGTGATGCATCAGTCTTCCCTTGGTCCAGAAGCATCTCAGCACAGGAACCTCAGGTCCAAAGAACATGGTCTGCTCCCAGCACTGCTTTCTTGGTGGTATGAGGTTCCCATGTGTCTCTGCTTGCTTCTTTTGTATCTCAAAAGAGATTGGCTTAAGACACTATCCAATCTCGCATACCTCATCAGTATAACTGCTGCTAATCCATCTTATTAGATCATAGTGATTGAATTTACAGCCCATAAGGGAATCACATGAGCTTTCAAAATGGTACACAATTATACAATACTGGGAATCATGACCCAGCCAAGCTGACAGAAATTTTTGGGGGACACAATTCAATCCATGACAGTAGCCAAATGCTGTTTTGATTTTCAAAGGAAAGAAAAAGGTAGATTTCACAAACTAGACCAATGAACTTGACATCTATTCCAGGCAAAATTCTGGCTGGATTTATTAAATCTACTCAGAAAGAGAAGCCATGATCATTAGGTGTCAAATCATTACAGACTAATACCCTCATTGCCCGTTGGGTATTTGTATTTCAATAAGGCATCCTGGAAGTCTCTCACAATATCTTTATGAACCTTAAGTAGATTTATAATCAGCTGAACATCATGGACAAAGAGTGCTGTTTAATGGGTTAAAGCACATATATAGAGACGTATCCAATGGCTGCCTGTAGGGTTTGGTACTCAATTTGGTCTTGTTCAACATTTTAATCAATGACTTGGATGAGGACACAGTTGTTCATATTTATCAAACCTGTAGTTGACACAAAGCTGAGAGGGATAGCTACTACGATGGATGACTGAATCAGGATCCAAAAAGGTCTTGACAGGCTGGAACTCTTCGTCAAATCTACCAAGATGAAATTTAACAAGGATAAAAGTAACTCTGACACTTAAGTCCAGAAAATCAATACAAATACAAGACAGGGGAGGCCAGACTTGATGCCAATTCACATGGGAAACACTTAGGGTTTTTAACTAACTGAAATCACAGCTTGGGTCAAAAGCAGGGGAGTGAGAAGGTTTTGGCTTCATAAATACTATTTTCCTTTTAGGTCAACATAAACTTTTTAACAGATTTGAAAAGTGTAACAAGTCAGTTCAGGAGGCAGTGAGTTTGTCATTACTAGAGGTCTTCAAGACAAGGTTAGATGACTACTCTGGATGCTAAAGAGAAAAAAATGGAAATCAGTAGAGGGTTTAGTAGCAGACAGTGGATAATGCCAAGATTCTACAATCTATTACATATGGGCAGATGTAATTATATTTCATAAGATTAAATAATTTCATTCCAACTGACTTAAGGAGCTGGATGATAAAAAGTTCCTGGAAGATATACTGAATGGGGAGTTCAAATTTAGGCTCACTTTTTTTTTCTTTTATTCCTTCCCCCTCGCCTTCTCTATTAATCCTGAGAGTTTCTTAAAGAATGAAAACAACATACTTCCGCACTTCTCATGAACAAAGTTTTATACTTGCTATTATGAAAGTAATATACATTCCTTACATGTAAAATGAAGCCTTTTTGATGAATATAAAATGAAAAGTAAAGGCTCCTCTCCTGCCTTCTCCCCTCTTGTATACCCTTGAAACTTTCCTGGACTCGCCTAGCCTCTAAAGCACCTTCTTCTCTGAATCCCTGGGTAACTTATAGTCTGTATACTACAACATTTTTTTTTTTTTTAAAGCAAAAAGAAAGTTTTATTTGGCATATATTCAAAGAGGCAACAGTGGGAAATGGACAGGCATGCTGCTAGAGCCATGTCTGACTATGACATCTTTTATTATACAGCACGTTTTCTTCCCAACAAGACCATAAACTCCTAAAGGTAAGATCTGTTTTCTACTTCAGTGTGGCTCATGTACCAAAACCAAGCACACTGTAGAAACATCATCTTTGTTACACTAATCTTTCTAATACTTGTGAAACAACAAATAGTAATTTTCTTTAGTTGCTATAAGTCTTGTTTTCGCTTCATATTTACAGTAGACATTGGCTGGTTTTGCCAATCCAGCATTCATTTACCACTTCTGACCTACCCATCCAGCTCATCATCGGTTTATGGTAAAATGATTAATTGTACTGAGAGGAAAACGGAATGTAGATCAATCATGACTTCATGATTCTGAAAAACATGGTTCAAGGTTGGTCATGTAACCCACTCTACACCAAATGAGATGAAGTCATTTTTGCCTTATTTGAAGGAGCTGAAGCTGAAAGGATATAAAGTACCCTAGATACTGCAGCTATCTCGGGACCAAAGGAGAGAGCCTATCCAAATATGGAGCCAACACCCAAAAAAGCAAACCTGAGAGAAAGAGAGGGAGATACGGGACCCTGGTGACATCATTTAGCACTCCTATTATCACCTCACTCTTGATCTCAGAATTGTCTGACTTCAAAGTCCTCTTCAACCAAGTTTACTTCTCTAACTCCCTAAGTCTTTATCCTTACACGCTCTCCTTGAGCTCCTCTCATAAGAGTAGAGTCAGATGCAGTGGAGAAGAGAAAGAACAGGGCCCTGAGAAAAGAAGTATAAACAAACATAAATATATATGGTGACCTGTGCATTAGAGGTGTGCAAACAGTGATGGCATGAAATGATGAGAGAATGAAGAAGCGTTTGAGGTTGTTTATGTATGCATGTTGATAGAAGAAGGGTTTACAAAAAAGGGACATCTGGGATGGTCCCTGCATTATGTATGCCACAAACTGCTGTAATTTCAACTTGTGCCACTCTCTCTTGCTCATTAGCTACAATGGCCTTCTTTCAGTTCTTAAAACTAAATTCTTCCTGCTTCAGAGCAATTACGTCATTGTCCGGATGCTCTTCCCCAAGTCCTCTCATCCCTGGCTCCTTTCTCACCCTTAAAATCTCTGTTCAAATTCCACCTTTTAAGAGATGCCTTTTCAAGTCCACCCAATCTTAAGTGGGCCTTTTCCTCTTACACATCACACCTTACCTGTTGCCAGCGAGTCGATTCCAACTCACAGAGACCCTAACCGGACAGAGTAGAACCGCCCCATAGGGTTTCCAAGGCTGTAAATCTTTACGAAAGCCAACTGCCACCTCCTTCTCCCACAGAGTAAGGGTGGGTTTGAACCACCGACCTCTTGGTTAGCAGCAGTCGAGGGCTTCACCACTGCACCACCAGGGCTCCTTCCTTTAAAGCTCTCACACTAACCGTATTTACTAAATTTGTTTGGTTTATCGACTATTTCCACCACGAGAATGTAAGCTCCCTGAAAGCAGGGATTCTAACTATCTGGAACACTTATTTTTCTTTATATTCAGATTCTGGCACAGAGTAGTAGGTACTGAATAAATGTTTGTTGGCGAAGTAAATGAATGGTAGAAACCCAGGTGATAGCGTGGGAAAAAGTCGGCTTTACAGTCCCGCTGCTTGTAAGGAAGTCGATAGTGACCGGGCAGGAAAAGCTGAGCTGAAGCTTCACAGGGGGCTGAACGTTTATCTTGGCGGGAGCGGTGGAGTAGGACCAGAGCTTCAGGCCTCCCTTGGTCGCGCGTAGGGTGGGCAACTGAGTGGGCAGAGACGCACACTCTCAGTCATGAAACCACTTAATAACCAACTCCTGGGCGTCCCCTTCACGGGAAACAAATGCGGCGGCTCTCCTCACACCCACCTCTTCCCCGCCCCGCGGACCGTAAGCGTACGCCGTCCTCCGCGAAATCGCTAGCCGGTGGTCACCAAACTTACAGCCCTGCCCCGAGACCCTCGAGTGCAGGTGACGTGTTAAAGAAACGACCAGCCTCTGCCGGTTCCCACTGGGGGCCCGGGAACGGCCTCGCATCCCAGCGCCCGCTCATTCGTCGGTTGACGCGTACCTCCCCGCCTCCAGCTCGTCCTGGGGCCCGAAACGCTCCCTTACTTACGCCTGTCTCCGGGCTATGAGCCGGTGCATGGGAGTCGCCATCTTAGCGCGGCTCAGAACTGCCGCGCTGGGTCTTGGGAAACTCCTCAGAGGGGGTGGAGACTTCGAACCCCGGTGGCCGCAGACGTGGGCGGAGCCACACGCGCCTCGCGTGTCTCTCAGGCAGTTTCTAGTTGCAGACGTGGGTGGTATGTGATGGCGATTGTCGGCCGTGGGGGTCTCTGGATTTGAGGAAGAGCAAGGAGGCCGGCTGTCGGGCCCATAGTGGGTTTTGAAGGATGAGTACACGTATGTTGCGTGGATGAGGCAGGGAAGAACATTCTGGAACTAGGGAACTGCATGTACAAAGACAATGAAACTGCAGTGTTCTAAAAACTAGGAGTAGCCTCGAGAGTAAACAGGAAGGAATAAGTTGAACAGGTCTGCGACCATCAATTGAAAGAATGACTTTAGCAAACCGTAAAGTGCAGGCTATGTTAATTATTTTTATTTTTATGTATTTCACAGGGATGTTATAAGGAACAAATGAGACTATATAAGTAAAACTGCTTTGTCAACTGGAAAAGGATTATACAAATATTAATTATTTTATGGTATTTTAGCTGTACCTACGTTTAGCATCAGATAATAGGGATTTTATTCTCTTAAATCCACGTTGTTTGAAACGTATAACCTTCAGCTATGTATCTATTTCTGTGTTACCCATTCATATTTTTTCAATTAATTTTTAGACACCTGAAATGCTTTAGGAACTGAGGATAGACCATTGAATAAATAAAGTCCTTGTACACATGGAACTTTCTACAGATAATAAGCAAACGCATGAAGGCTATGTCCAGTGAGCAGAAGCACAGTATTCAAAGATAAGTAATTCAGTATAAGGTGGTTAAGAGTGATTAGCTTTGGGAGTCAGGAAAGGACTCTGATGTCACCTTGGAGCACATGATATCTTACTACCTGTTCTGTGCTTCAGTTTGCTTTTTATATATTCCTCAATGTATTATGGACATTTTTCCCATATCAGCACATATAGATCTAATGCATTCTTTTTATTTTGTTACATTATATAGATTATTTGCATATTCCACAATTTATCCAACCAGTACCCTATTATTATACAATTAGATCATTTACTAAAAGATGGAATGAACAGAATGAACACTCAAATGTTTCTGTAGAATGACTTCCTATAAGTGGAATTGCTGGGTCAAAGGGTATGTGTACTTTTGATGGATACTACCAGATTGCCCTTTAAATAGATTGTAACCAAACCCATTTCCTCTCCAGAACTGAGAATGCTCAATATTTTTTTTTATTGTACTTTAGGTAAAGGTTTACAGAACAAACTAGCTTCTCATTGAACAATACACATATTGTTTTGTGACATTGGTTACCAACCCCATAACATGTCAACACTCTCCCCTTCTTGACCTTGGGTTCCCTATTACCAGTTTTCCTATTTCCTCCTGCATTCTAGTCCTTGCCCCTTGACTGGTGTGCCCTTTAGTCTCATTTTGTTTTATGGGTCTGTGTAATCTTTGGCTGAAGGATGAACCTCAGAAGTGACTTCATTACTGAGCTAAAAGGGTGTCCGGGAGCCATACTGTCAGGGTTTCTCCTGTCTCTGTCAGGCCAGTCAGTCTGGTCTTATTTTGTGAGTTAGAATTTTGTTCTACATTTTTTTCCAGCTCTGACCCAGACCCTCTATTGTGATCCCTGTCAGAGCAGTTGGTGGTAGTAGCTGGGCACCATCTAGTTGTGCTGAACTCAGTCTGGTGGAGGGTGAGGTAGTTGTGGTCTATTAGTCCTTTGGACTAATCTTTAGCTTGTATCTTTAGTTTTCTTCTTTCTTCCTTGCTCCAGATGGGATGAGACCAGTGGAGTATCTTAGATGGCTGCTCACAAGCTTTTAAGAGAGAATGGTCAAATTTTTAAACTTATGGCTATCTAATAAGACATATGATATATGTGATGGTTAATTTTTTGTGTCAACTGGGCTAAGTTATGATTTGGCCAGATATTGGGCTATTTGCTGTTCTGTAATGTAACATAACATAATGTAATGTAAACACTTTCCATGATGTGATCTGATATGGTCAGACAATCAATTGATACCGGATAAATGGATATTCTGGCAGAGCTCTCTCTCTTTCTTTTGACCCTACACTTTTCTCATCACCTGGACTGTGTATCTTGGGATGTAAGTCTGCAGAAGTCTCTGGCCCACTGCCTGACCTATGGATTTTGGACATGCCAGCCCTACAATTACATTTGCCAATCCCTTGAAATAAATCAATCTCTCTCTCTCTATGTATATATATATATATATGTATATATATATGTATGTATATATATATATGTATATATATATGCAGAAACAAAGTAAACCCGTTGCTGTTGAGTCGATTCAGACTCATAGCAACCCTACAGAACAGAATAGAACTGCCCCATAGGTTTTCGAAGGAGTGGCTGGTGGATCTGAACTGCGGATGCTCCATATATATATATGTATGTACGTACTGTAAAGATACATATAGATATAGATACAATATGATAGATGCGTACATGATAGCTATAGATATGATATAGATACATCTATATACATACATGGAGCCCTGCTGGCACAGTGGTTAAGAGGTCAGCTGCTAACCAAAAGGTCGACAGTTTGAATCCATCAGCTGCTCCTTGGAAACCCTATGGGGCAGTTCTACTCTGTACTATGGAGTCGCTATGAGTCACAGTTGACTCGATGGCAATGGGGGTTTTATGTATATATACACACATATATATACATGTATATACACACACGTACATCTCATTAGTTTTGTTCCTCTGGAAAACCCAAACTAAGACAATGTATTAAGTACCTTATGTAATGATCATTGATAGAGTGTACTTTTTTCATGAATTGTCTGTTCAAATTTTTCCCTATTTTTCTATTGAATTTTTATCTTCTTCAAATTGATCTGTAGAAATTGTTAATATTATTAATAAACCCTTTATTTTACATGTTACAAATATTTTTCCTTATTTGTCTCTTGTCTTTTTAACTTTGTGATCATTTACCATTCTGGAGGGTTTTTTTTACCATTGTTATATAGTCATATTTAACAATCTTTTCCTCTATGGATTCCCAGATTTGGATCACTCTTAGAATGGCCTTTTATGTCCCAAGATTATTAGTATATTTTCTTGTATTTCTTTAATTACAACTGTAATACAGTTTTGTTATTATGGTTCTATTTTAATACTAATTTTTATTTTATTGAAATACCACTTATTAAATAGTCTGTCACTTCTCTGTTGATTTGAAATGCCACTCTTTCCTATATTAAATATGTACAAATTTAGTCTGTGCATTCTATTTTCTTCCAAAGATTTGTTTGTGCCAGGATTTCTACTGTTTTAGTTACCGTGGTTCTGTAGAATATTTTAAGGAGCCCTGGTGGCACAATGGTTAAGCACTTGGCTGCTAACTGAAAGGTTGGCTGTTTAGCCCACCAGCAGCTCCTCAGGAGAAAAGCCCTGGCGATCTGCTTTCATGAAGATTACAGCCTAGGAAACCCTATTGGGCAGTTCTACTCTATTTTATAGGGTTTCTATGAGTTGGAATTGACTCTATGGCAAACAACAGGAGCATAGGATATTTTGATAACTGGTAAGGCAAGACCCTCTTAATATATCCTCCTTTTTCCTCAATTTCTATATTACTCTTAGGCATTTATTCTTCTAAATGAGATTTATTCTCAAATTTTCAAGTTTCCCACAAAACAATATTAAAATCTCTTTTAGATGTTAACTAACTTAAAAAGAAACTGCATTATAGCAAATGTGAAAAGGCAAGAGACAAAATAAGAGATACAACAAATTGAAAGGAGGAAGCAAATGACATTATTTGTGATTATTTGATTGCACATCTAGAAAGCCTATGAGAAACAACTGAAAGCTCATAGAAAGTTCAACCTAGAGGCCTGTTATGAATTGAATTGTATCCCCCCAAAATGTGTGTCAACTTGGCTAGGCCCTGATTCCCGTAATGTGTGGTTGTCCGCCATTTTGTGATCTGATGTGATTATGCTATGTGTCGTAAATCATAACCTTTATGATATTAATGAGGCAGGACTCAATCTACAGGATTAGGTTGTATCTTGAGTCAATCTCTTTTGAGATATAAAAGAGAATCGAGCAGAGAGGAGAGCAACCTCATACCACCAAGAAAGAAGAGCCAAGAGTGGAACGTGTCCTTTGGACCCAGGATCCCTGCACTGAGAAGCTCCTAGACAAGGGGAAGATGGATGACAAGGACCTTCCCTCAGAGATGACAGAGAGAGAATGCCTTCCCCTGGAGCTGGTGCCCTGAATTTGGCCTTCTAGCCTCCTAAACTATGAGAGAATAAATCTCTTTTTGTTAAAGCCATCCACTTGTGGTATTTTTGTTATAGCAGCACAAGATAACTAAGACAGGGCCAGACAGAAAATAAAAACACAACAATTACTTGCTTCCTCAGTGAAAGACTAAGCCACTGTAGCACTTCCCACTGAGGTCCATGGACTTGAAGAACTCTCAGTTTTGTCCAGAGAGCCCAGGATAAAATTCTGATGCTAAGATGTTATAAAACTTAATGTGTAGTTTTTAATACATAAAAATTAAAAACTCATATGAAAGCTGCAAGTAATTTCTATCTGGCAAGAGCGAACACTCTATATTGTCTTTAAGCCAACTATTCCTATGTTCTGAGAAAATCTCCTCAAAGTGTCTGCTAGTTATATAAGTTGCCTTGAGCTGTGGGAGGGGAGGAATAAATATAAAGGCATGTATTGAAGGGAGACTTACATCTCTCAGAACTGAGTTGCTATTGGTTGGGATGGCTTGATGACTGTTTCCTGTCCCGACCCTGGCCTGTTTTATGAGAGCCTATGGTTAGAGGGCTAAGCACAAAAACAAGGCCTGTTTGGTGGTCAGGTAAACTATGCAGTAACACAGGTCCCCATGCTTAGAAGGGTTTAATTGGTTTCATGCTCAGCTGTCACTGTTTTGAAAATCTTAACTTTTGAACAAGGAGCCCCACA